ACTATTACTGCCACTTCTGCATGCTTATTTGTAATCGGCACGAAAAAATAATCATCGACGACAGCAACAGACAAACGGCAATTTTCAACCCTCAAGATACGAAGATATTAAGCGTGCGAATATTTATTGATATGATTTTTTAGCAATTGCGAATGGCTACGAGAAGAGATTCTGCCAATATTCCACTCCAGAATGATTATCATGTTGATTTGATGGAACAGTGATATTGCGTTTACAGCAGAGTTTTAAATAACTAAGCCATGAACTCACCTTGCGGTATGCATGGGAATGATATGATGTTAGCGAGATGAAAGTGGGAAACGACATGAAGTTATTAAGGTCTCCGAAGAATTGTGGAGGGAGTAATGTGGGAGTATTATTAGAGAGTGTAGTCACTTTAGTTTGAGAATATAGCTTATCATAGACCATTCAACCTATTCATTACTTGCCCATCTCATACTCCAAAAACCCAAGGACCTTTGTATGTACCATACTCATCCAATGACAGATAGCACATAGAGAGCCATTTTGAGCAGCAAGTTTCTTCAAACTACACTTTGCATCTAGTTTACCAAAACTTACTCAGCAGCCACAACTAAGTTCTGCGTTCTTCACACATAACATATGATAGTATGTATCATGAAAGTCTTACCAATAGTATAAAACCCACAAATCATCCACATCGATCAGCGAACATAAATACAGACCTCAAACATTGACGTCCCCTCATCCCTCAAACCGTCTTGGCCTAGCCTAGCTATTCCCTCGAGGCCTCCAGCCCATCGGGCTGTAAGCAACCCAAGCCCAATCTCAACCCACCAAAGCAAATAATCCCCAATGATTACATCCCGAAGAAAAAATCCGAGATCTTCTCTCCGAGGTAGGTTTCCGTTTAACTGTCGATCGAATCTCCAGTTCATCTCGATGATTCGAAGTTTTAGATGACGCAAAGAAGCTACCTATCAGTTAAAATTAGAATTAAGGATCCGCAGTTCGAGTTTATGGATTAGATGATTTAGAGCAGTGTGCATTGAGAATGGATCTAGACTTCGATATTTTGAGTTAATGCAAGGAGGTTGTGCGGGAGTGAGCGTTTTCAAGGTAAGGTATGGTTTTATAGTGGAGTATGATGCGAATGATATGGTAGATCGTTGGGCCTCTACCACGCTGCCAACGAGGGAGTGAGACAAAAGCTGCTTTCAAAAATTTGGAGGTATGTCTTTTAATGTACTATCTTTGTGATTGGGCAGGAATTTCATATCGAAGTTTGATATAAATAACGGGTAGATCTTGGCTATTGGGTATTATCTCGATAGCGTGAAGATCTTCATGTTAATCTTTATCTCCATCTCTAATCCAGTGTGTGCGCATATGCCATCATGCATCTGAAACATAAGCATCAGATAAAGGAATATTTTTGAATAGCGAACTACTGGGAAAGAGATAGGTCGATGAAAAGCTTATTTCTCTGTCAATTACAGCATATGTGACTCTAGCCTACACTGACACAGCAGGTATATCTCCCACCTCCACTCCGGACTCAATTTCATAGCATTATGTTACGTATAAGACAAGCAAAGCAGAGCAGGATAAACGACGAACAGAGAGTCTAAGAGCAGAAAATGAAGCTATTAATACTATTCATAGCTGAAAGCATAACCGAAAAAGAAGTTTTCAGGATGATTGACCTCTGTGGGGATAAGCTTCAATATTGAGTTTTGAGTTCTGGGTTCTTGAAAAGTACTCAGCATTTCGAAGCTCGAACATATCATCAAAGCAATCCCCTTGTAAAGCTTAAACAAAATACCAAATTTTATAGATATTTCTCTTCATTTATACATAGCAACTTCTTTTCGAATTTTAATTGACGCACGCCTCACATGAATCCTTTTCCAAACATAAACACAGCACCAGTGTACAGTATACCAATCAGTATACATATTCTCAACCCAACTCAAAAGCCAAAAATCTCAACTCCAAATTTCTGCTCGCCGATTGCATCACGCCTATCACATAAGATCTCGCACCCACAACACGGCTCGGATTATATGGATATATTCCGCGAGCGCAACACACTTACATGGACTTATGCAACGTAAATCACTTCTAGCGCCGATGACCCATCGGCCATTATAATATTTTCTATTCACGACAAATTATAACACGTTGCCATCACGCATGATGGAATATCGATACATGTAAGCAAGCTAGGAAAATTTTCATGTAAGATTACGATGCTGCAGAATGGAGACTAGAGTAGACGGGTGGGTTTGTGTCTATATCAGGAGATTATAGCCGTGCATTGTATTTAGAGGAAGTGTGAATGATGATGGGGTTATTTAGTGAGGTGATGAGCTCGAGTGTGGGATGGATCATGGGGTATTTGTGCGGTCAGGAAGTATCGCATACTCCACTTTGAGCACGTACCATAAGATGGTAAATTATAAAGGGAATAGTAGGAATAGTAGTCCCCTATTAATAAAGTGTGCTATTCTTTCTGGCTGTACGAGTAAGAAGTCAAGTTATTATGACGAGGAAAAGGAAATATGAAAAAGTCGGATCAAAGGATCTGTCGAAAATGATATATTCATTAAGGTCTAGGGGACAAGGCGAAGGAATGGTGAATAAAGCGGTGAATAGTATATGCTATGTAAAAGCATGACTCGTAAGGACGTAGTTTTTAGTAGTTTTCCAGCTGCCAAATGTTATCAGCTCTGATGGGGATATTTCTAATTCCCACTCCGGAGCAACATCAAAAGCCCAAATCCATAAAACAAATTGTGAATTATGCACTGACATTTCCCCGCTTCCAGCTCTCTATTTACGCCCAGTTCCAAAAGGCGTGTCTCAATTTTCAAGCCATCGTACCATTATTCAACATTATGAAGTGATGTGAATACCGTGCGCAGAAACATTAATGATGAGAGGTAATACTATGTACGCATTAATGTTCGATATCAAAATGTTCAATATTCATGAAGGTATTTTGGTGGTAAATTCGCAAAGTATTCATGGGGGGATAGCTACAATGTAGGTAGATATGAGGAATGAAAAGATAGCTTAAAGTCACGCACTAGATAAATCTAAGCTCTATTATTCCTGCCCAAATTTACACAAAAAAGATATAGGAAACAGATGATAATACTCGGGAATTGGAAAACCCGTTGCCGTGTTTTACAAGAGAGTTTCATGGCAATCAATTGTTTGATAATGACCTGGATCAATTTTTCTCAAAACATTGGCACAGTGCCGAGCCGGCGGTTGACTCGAGGTGTCGGGCAATAAGACAATATGTATTCACTGTATTGTCATCACATCACCTCGGGATACAATACCAGGAAGAAACTGGAAATCTCTCGGGATCACCGAGCTGTGTGCCGTGCTTTGGTTGCTGCGCCGTACATCGTACATTCATGAAATATGGACATTTCTCGGCCAAGCTTTTTGCGAAAACTTTTCAGGCTATTATCAGTGTGTCTGTGTCCAGAATACTGACAATGAGTTCATGGTACTCGAGTAATAGACAGAGAATAAGCAATAACATAGCCACTTGTAATCCATAAATACGAATGCAGAATCTAGACACTCGACCAGATATAATCGCCATCACACAAACCAGCTCATATCCACTCATTCCTCGTATAAGCCAGTTCTCTCCTCTATAGCTAACGATGCACTAATAGAGTTTAACAACCAACGGAGCACAACGAGCCAAGAAAACGTGACATATGGGCCTCCAGCGATCTCCGTTCCCGTCGCCATAACTTAGTGATAAACTAACAGCACTAAAATGACGATCACACGGGACGGAACCTATTTAGACTACTAAATAAGTAATTAAGGCTTGATCATTGACGGCGCGTGTACTAATTGTACTTATATTCTGTATAACACGGGATATAGTTATAGTTGCGTTAAGGAACACCAACCATCATTTAGCTCTAGAGCCCCCCTAAATAAGGGGTTCTTTTTTCCTTCCGTCCGCTATTTAGTTTAGTGTCTTTCACTAATATAAACTCCGGGGAATTCGGAATATTAATCACCTTGGTATATTAGGAATAGAAATTTCAGCCCTTGAATAAATTGCGTCTTGACTTACGTCTCGAAATATGTCTTAAATCATGAAATTCCCACTCCAAATTAATTCATTCGAGAAAGTTCGAGGTTTTAGCTTACCCTAGAGCCTTGTTTGAATTTGATCAGGGGCAAAGACACCACCATAACGGCCCGCAGTTCAAGCCCTTTAAGCACTGATCAATTGAACCCCATATATACATAATATATCACGGTATCCATCCCATCAGCTCGCAGGTCGGACTTTATAATCTCGTATTGAACAATTTGAACAGAGCAATAATAATGGAACCTCTCAAGTTATTTTGGTATTTCACCAGTACCGTTCTCATTGCTCCATTCAAAAACCGGTTCTTGCTTGTTTCGTGCTGGCCGATGTGATATAAGGTTACCGACTGAGCATTCTCATCTCGACAATCCTAATTTTCCCGTTCCAAAACACTGGGAATTTTAAATACCCATAAAAGTACAGTGAGTGAGTGAGTGAGACCTGTCCCAGATGATGAAGTCAGAGGTGTGCGTATTATTCATAGTATCATGCATGCAGTAAGTAAAGTGAGCAGATAATAATTTATCTGTTGGTTTCCAGAATGTCTATCTAGGTCGATCAATCAATTACAAATTAAGGCAAACCAAACCACCGAAACCAAATTAAATTAAATCAGATAAAATTCCGGCAAGCCCTAATTTTCCAGATCCAAAGTCCTGGGAACTTTAAATATAAGACAAGCAAAGTGAGTGAGACCTTCTGCATTGATGAGGCGTAGCCATTCATTAATTAATATACGAATGATATCATACATAACACAAACAAGCAACCCCACCCAATCAACAACTTCACAAATTCATTCACCAAAACAACAAGCCATCATCCATCCCCCTTTCAAAACATGAAGTTCCAACACAAAACAAAATCAAAAAAAGATTGCGCCCGCCGGAAATCGAATCCGGGGCCCATCGAAGTTATTCAAAGACTCTTGGAAGAGAGGGATTTTGATTGGCAACGATGGATTTTACCACTAAACCACAGGCGCTGGAGGTTTTCAATCGCTAATCTGTTTTTGCTTGTTGATGGAGGGGTGCTCGTTGTGTAATATTATATACCTACCTGTAATATTCCTCCACTTACATATAATCGATCGGTACCTCCCTTTCCCCCGTAAATTATATTTAAATACTCGTTTCGAAGAGGCAGAAAGAAGGACCTTCTGACATCATATCAAATCAAATCGCATCGTATCATATCAAATCAATCTCTAGCACTAATCTCAGATGATCAGATCACACATTTTGCCTTTTCCCTTAGCTTGAGCTTGAGCTTGAGCTCGAGCGAGCTGCAGCTGGAGCTGGAGGGGACCTTGCCAATAGTAGATAATATAAACGAATTTGAGGTACTGTGTCTAAGCGGATAGGTATAGACTAGCAAGGTGAATGATAGAAGGAGGAGGAGTAGGAGATAAAGTATAGCTATAGATAGATAGCCTTTTCAGACTCAAATGTCTGTGCAACAGAATAATACAAGATGCACTCCTTCTCGTCCTACTACTCCCTCCTTCTACTCCGTAGTAAGGTTAGGGGGTTATACAGAGTATGTATGGGAGAATACTGCATTGATGAATTTAATGTGCTTTTGTGCTTTGTGCTTTACCAGTATATCTTATATTCTATATTGTATTCTGTTTATTAATCGTATGGTATGGTACGGTATGTATCATAGCATAGCATAGGGTAAGTCTTGCGAGGAGGATCGCAGAGTGTGAATGCCATTGCAGAATTTTTGGTAGTGTGATGTTTTTGGTGGGCGAGTGAGTGAGTGGGGTAAAATCTAAGTTAGGGTGCGTTATAACTTAATGGAGCGCATTGGAGCGCGTGAATAGATAAGTTCTTGTAGATTGATGATTTGATAGTCTAGAACATTTTTTTTTTGTTTTTTTTTGGATGGTTGTAGTTGAAGCTGTAGTTGTAGTTGAAGTTTATATGAGTATACTATTAAATTCTGAGATACAATAAAGAGACCTCTCTTTAATTCTAGTATATTTTCAATACTCATTCACACATGAAGTTTGTATACGTTGGGTAACCTTCAAATTAGCTCCAGAATTCATGCCCATCAGAATTTCTAGAATCCCTTCATTCTCACATGCAGCAAAGAAAGGTAAGCAAGTAAGCTTATGTTCGCAACGCGCCTGTTACAAATAAAGTGTAAAAATCTCCGTCCCATGTCACTCCATCGCAAGCAAGCCTACAGACCGCTCAACAAACCATGACGATGATAAGATGATGACTGGTTGTCCGAACAGCGAACACGCCGTGCATGCTTTTCATTTACTCCCTGCCAAGGCTTTTAAGGAGTTCGTTCTTGTATTGATGGTATATATTGGGCTCGTCACATGTTTTTGTATTCTTCATGGCTTATGTTGTACTTTGCGCTCCGTAGATGGATGTGAATATGCAAGGTGATAATGCTGCTGGGCTATTCTGGTTGATCAGATACCTGTTGCCCTAGGGAAATCTTTTTAATTGGTTTTGAATGCGCAGTGCGGATAGTTCTCGAGGATATTATCCAAAGTTTGAGGGATGAGTGGATGTGAATGTTTTCATAACCACCAGCATTACAGTAGATGTGAAGATAATCGTTGTAATCACATCGGGAGTTGATCTTAATGGATCTAAGACTTCCGGAGCTCAGTTCCCCCGCTTATGTTTATGCTTATGCTTGTGAGCAGTGAGGTTGACCCATTTTCTTGGCCATTCGTGCGCAGTAGATATTTTGTGAAAGATCGTCATTTTTAACCCATTATTTTCCAGTCGGGCTTCAAGGCGACTACCGTAAGAGTGCCGTGCAGGTCAGTATGTCCGAGCGGGAATTCAGTATCCATAATGCCCATTGAATAAAAATAAAGTCATAGATGATCATGGAGATCCTCTCCACATTAATATCATAATTTGGCTGACATGTATAATCGACATGCTTCAAAAAGAAGCCAGTCCAGCATATCTTGCAAGCTGTGATGGTTTTTGCTTTCAAAGCATGGAAGAGTCGTGATTGAGATTGAGCTCAGTCCTCCATACTAATATCTTACCCGCTGTCAAAAATGAAGCTATTGAAGAGTTTGTCAATGATGTATATTAAAAATGCGGGTTTGATCAATAGAGGGAAGTATTCGCACGTGTTTGATCCGCACTCGATCTCCTCGAGTTCCCTTAAAGTCCGAAACAAGGTCCTAGTGGGCGAAGACAAGGCAAAGGCATACAGATCACACTGTTGTGTAACGGCTCGGGCAATTATGAATCGGCATCAAAATCGAACGTTGCGTTGAAGATATTTGATAGAAAGCTAAGCCAGTCGGAAGTAAGCAGTTTGACGGAATGTAACCCATAAACTTGCCATCCCGATAAATCAACCAACCATTATTCAATATTTGTTGATACCCCGAGCCGTGCCGTTACTAGAAAAAGAAAGGTTGGCGTTTGAATAGATGTATCCCTCAAAGTAACCAAACCGAAATAATATTGGGAACGTGCGCAGGTCCAAAATTGGCTGCATTGAGGCTGCATGGAACGGCGATAGCAAGGATGGGGGACCCTAGAAATGTCTCATAAACCTTGAAGAAGCTCCAAGCTTGAACGGGTGAAAGGGTTGTCCGCTCTTTGAAGAGAATAATACGAAACTCTAGCCAGTGGTGATTGAATTCAAATTCTTCGGACATGACGAAGTATAACTTATCAAGGAATAAACATGGCGGCAACGCAACCACATGCCATTACTGCATACTTCCGCCCAGATTGCATGCAATCGGATCGAGGTAAAAGAAGAGTTCTGATAAAATTATCCTAAGTCGATCGATTTATTGGCAATTGAGTGCTGCAGTAACCCACACTTGTGACATGATTTGTTGGGAATGGTGAAGATGGCTTTTTGGGCAAATGTCCTTCCGACCTCTAGATTATCGTGAGGCTGTCAATGATACCACGAAAACATGAGCCGTGAATGAATCCAGCCAAGGATATGGCTCAATTCATCTGCTACAATATCAATATCAATGTACATGTATATGTATGTAGCACACATGATGTAGGGTCTGGGTGTGGTGCATGCCATGGTTGAAAACTGTTGTAGCTGAATGAGAGGTTGAATGAGAGGTTGAACGAGAGAAGGTAGAAAATACTTTCTGGTAACCTTATTCTACACAACATGAAAAGTAGCACAACTTCATCCCTTCTCGTTTCCAGGTACTAGGAAAAAGTCGACCCCATTTCTCGAAGCTGTCTCAGTTTAGAGAAATAACCATAACTATTTTCATACATTCGGTAGATTAGGTACATACATTGTGCCCTATGAATTTCAAGGGCATCGTAGATATCCAAAGACGCGCAGCTCCCAAAGACTTAAGTAGGCCGGCACTTCGGTAGTCCATTTTATTTCAGGGGAGTACCGGATATTACCCAAAAATGGAAACAGAAATGGGGGTAAGTTAAATTAATACTACCAGTTAGGAACCCCTGTAAATAAAATTCCCTTCGATCATCCCTTCAGGTACTCGTACTTGCCAAAGGGGAAAGAATGGATGGAAGCACATGTGATTTCAATATCACACGATTTGGCCTATAGGAATACTTTGCCTTGATTTTACTCCTTGACCCATTCCTCGAACCAGCATGAAAGAATGGTAACGTGTAGGTATGATAGAGCTGAAGAGGAACGGATGGGGATTTTCTTTCTTTCACATCACATGAAGGAGGACGGACATCAACATTATGCCTTTAGCAGTTATGCGATTTTGAGAATCCGCTGTTCATGTCTAGCTAGGGACTTTGTTCAACTTCCATCAGCCCATGGTAATCCTGCTTTCTTGGATACCCCCATTAATGCCCAAACACACTAGAGTAATATAACCGATTCTTTCTTGTGTGACTTTCTTCCAATCCCATCCAATTTTACCCATCTCAAATCATCTCCCAAAAGATAGAACTCAAGGAGAACCCTTTCAATTATCTATCTTACCTTCATCCTTCGTTCTCTGTCTGGCAATACTCCGTACCTTGGTCTTTTCATCTGTAAACCCCTTCATTGTCTCCTTGCAACGTTCATTACCATCAATTGGTTCAAGCCAAACCCGAAGATCCTACTCTGTAGTATGTACAATGCAATGTACAATGCAATGAATCTAATGGGCACAGCTCTTTAATTGGCGTGTGCGGCCGTTTCGTCCCTCCCTCTTTTGGGCGCACACTTTACTTCCACTCCACTAAATCTCACGAGTAGCCCCTTGCGTATTGGATTAATGTGCATCTCTAAACGAAAGAAGCAAAGGATCCCTAGTATAATACAGAGTACCCACGACAAGGTCTAACTAAAGCTAGGGAAGGGCAAAAGGGTCGACAAGGAAACCAAAAGCTTAGAGATCCTTGTTAATGGCCCAGAACTTATCGATTGGAACCGTACTCTGTACTTTTCATCTTTCACTGTTACTCCGCTGATCGAAAGAGTCAACATAATTGGAAGGAGAGAAGCCAACAAAGTACCCTCGATCAAGTTAATAATCACTGGGTAAGATATGATACCCTAGCAAAAGTTCGGAAGAGAGAGGAGAAGAAGAAAATAAAGTCAAAACGTCGAAGAGTGGAAAGTCTACAACATCATATTATCATATTACATCAGTGCCTAGTACCTACCTACCTCCTTCCCTCAATCTTTCGTCATCAGAGGTAAAAAAAAAAAAAAAGGAATAAATTCAAAACTAAAGTCCACAACGACATCCACAAAATTCCACAATTGCAATTCCTTCGATTCTCTCTTGCACAGTGCCCATAGCACATTTCCTAAATCCGGGGAGCCATTCATTATCCACAAGGTAAAGGAAGAAGCACAAACCCAGGAACTCCGCCAAGAGGAAGATAACGGTCGTTGAGTAATAGAAAAGAGAGTGAGTGGCGAGAGGAAAAGGGAGAGAGTTTGTGAACGAGAGGGAGAGAGGGAGAGAGATTAGAGAGAGATAGAGATAGAAATAGAGGGAGAGCCAGAGAGAGCGAG